TTTGATAAAGTGGCACAATGGTGGACTCATTGTTTTTTCAAAATTGTGCAGTGCTTTGTACATCTATTGGATCAATATGTTTAATATTTATGTTCCCAAATAGGTTTATTTCTCTCAGGGTTACATATATATATACAGCATCTCACAGAAGTGAGTACACCCCTCACATTTTTGTAAATATTTTATTATATAATTTCATGTGACGACACAGAAGAAATTACACTTTGCTACAATGTAAAGTAGTGAGTGTGCAGCTTGTATATCAGTGTACATTTGCTGTCCCCTCAAAATAACTCAACACACAGCCATTAATGTCTAAACCGCTGGCAACAAAAGTGAGTACAACCCTAAGTGAAAATGTCCAAATTGGGCCCAATTAGCCATTTTCCCTCCCCGGTGTCATGTGACTCATTAGTGTTACCAGGTCTCACGTGTGAATGAGGAGCAGGTGTGTTCTATTTGGTGTTATCGCTCTCACTCTCTCATACTGGTCAATGGAAGTTCAACATGGCACCTCATGGCAAAGAACTCTCGAAGGATTTGAAAAAAAGAATTGTTGCTCTACATAAAGATGGCCTAATTTATAAAAAGATTGCCAAGACCTGAAACTGAGCTGCAGCACGGTGGCCAAGACCATACAGCGGTTTAACAGGACAGGTTCCACTCAGAACAGGCCTCGCCATAGTCGACCAAAGAAGTTGAGTGCACGTGCTCAGCGTCATATCCAGAGGATGTCTTTGGGAAATAGACGTATGAGTGTTGCCAGCATTGCTACAGAGGTTGAAGGGGTGGGGGGTCAGCCTGTCAGTGCTCAAACCATATGCCGTACACTGCATCAAATTGGGCTGCATGGCTGTCTTCCCAGAAGGAAGCCACTTCTAAAGATGATGCACAAGAAAGCCCGCAAACAGTTTGCTGAAGACAAGCAGACTAAGGACATGGATTACTGGAACCATGTCCTGTGGTCTGATGAGACCAAGATAAACTTATTTGGTTCAGATGGTGTCAAGCGTGTGTGGCAGCAACCAGGTGAGGAGTACAAAGACAAGGGTGTCTTGCCTACAGTCAAGACAGCACCCAAAAGAAAAATGTGGAGCAATTTTTCTGAGGGTCATTCCTTCTTCTGTTGCAGTTGCTAATGTAAACACATAATCTGCCTTTGGTGTTAGCACTTGTATAACGCCAGCATCTGGTGCCAACAAGGATATAATGCCAGTGTCAAATGTTATTAATATGTGAGTGGAAAGATAAATGGTTTTAAGTTATTCAAGACAGTTGGCTCAATATGCAAACATTCTTGCAACATGCATGACATCCTATGTACAAAACTAAAATACTATAATTCTGATTAATACCTGTAGATACTCCCTCAAACCGGAGAGAGATGACGTCATCATAACAAAAGAGGGAACCATTCATATTAAGAAGCCCTTTGACAGAGAAGAAAGCGCTTGGCTCAATCTAACTGTGATCGCTGAGGAAATTGGTAAGTACAAACAAAGACAAAGAGCAGTGTCAGATCTATAGCAGTGTGCAACTGTGCTGAAGAAATGTGCAATAATAAAAGGTCAGTCTACCTGAAACTGATCAGTTATTGGTAGTTAATGGAGAGTTAAACCACCTGAAAAATTATGTTGCCTCTCCAGAGCAGTATTTATCATAATTGCCCTTGTGAGTCAGTGCTTAGTGCAACAAACCTCAAAATTTACAAATGACAACTTTTTCCTTATTTTGTGTTCACTGTTTTGGCCGCCTCTAGACACTTGGGACCAAACTGAATAGGAGATGTTGGGAGGAGTAGTAAGACTCACTGTTGTTTAACATGAAACTCTTTCTCCTGTGTCTTCTTTGGTGGTCAGACTCTTTACATTTGAAATGTAGTTCCGAATACAAAGAAGAGCCTATGCTGCCTCCAATGGAAGAATTTTTACTAAAATAATCGCAACACAAGGCTTATACAAAAGTGTTTCATCATTCAGGTGTGCTTAGTGCAGCATGGTGTTGGCTCTCACCCATAGGATTGAGATCTCAGGGCTCAGTTCCTTGATGTGCACACCAACTGTGACCATTGTAATTTACCTCTTGAATCTTTTGTTTTTATTTAATAATAATTAGATTGCAACAGGCGAAGCTGTACCATGCAGGAACAGCTGGGGCAGAACACCTAGGTCAGGGGTGCCCACAACTTTTTGTGTTAAGATCTACTTTTCAAATGATGAGCTACTTGAGATCTACCAACGGGAAAAAAACCTACCTCGCTCTCTCTCTCCTGGCTGTCTCTCCTTGCTCTCTCCCCTGGCAGTCTCTCTTTAATCTCCTGGCTGTCTCTCCTCTCTCTTTGATCCCCTGGCTGTCTCTCCCGCTCTCTCTCCTGGCTCACCTTGCTGTATTTTCAAAACAGTGCAGTGCAACAGGCTGTGTAAAGTAATATTCTTTGATGTAATACATAGCACTTCAACCACCTGTATCCACCAGAAAGGTGTCAGGGAGATTGGCTCAGCTGACTCGGGCTAATAGGTAATCATGTGTGCACAGCTAAATAAATATACCAAAATGGAATAAAGGGGCCGCCATTCACACCCTTCCTGATCTACCAGCATCAGCTTTGAGAGCTACTGGTAGATCACGATCTACCTAATGGGCACCCCTGACCAAGGTGGACAAAACAGAATCGGAAATTTTGGCAGGGAGCTTTCAGTGATGCCCATCCCAGATATGTAAGAAACCAGAGGCTGAGCCCAGCTATAGCTAAACTGACTATAACTAACAAACTATAACTAAATAACTGATACTTCCTCTTGCAAGAATAATTGGGACACAAGTTCAGAGTCCGGAGGTAATTCTGAGCAGGCAGTGAGGGGACAAAGGTATGTGGCACTTTGTCAAACATGTGTCGCTATTGTCACCTACCTAGGCTGGAAGATCCTGGCAGTTAACTGTGTTTCCAACAGAAAACTGATTCTGGAAGAAACAAGAGCATACACTGGAATATTATTACCCTGTATTTTATAGGCTTATGTATCTTGCCTTTTGACTACCAAACGACAGTACCAAGTGTTTGCCTAAAGATTGGGATCCATCTGTAATGTCATGGAGAAGAACTGGATCATAATTTCTGAGGTTAGGTCTCCCCACATAAGTACCAAGAATGTTCTGAGAACACTGGATAATTGAGCCCATCAATGACACCCCAGAACTGGATTTATGGGTTCTATGTAGACTTTCAACTTGAATGTTTATATCATAGCACCTTAAATAGCATCATCTGTAAATTTCTGGTTTTATTACAGGCTCTCCAACAAATAAAGCGTCATCGGCTGTGGTTTACCTACAAGTTCAGGATGAGAATGATAATGCACCAGAGCTCACCTACCCATACGTTCCCAGAGTGTGTGAGAATGTAGCCAATGAACATGTGAGTGAGTCTGGGTTTGGTAATGCCGTTTTATGTTTATTTATCCATGTTCCTCAGATCCCACTGCATACCTTCACCAGGGGTGAACAGAAGTGATGGGTAACACACTAACTTCAAGGCTTCTTCAGTATTCATTGAAAAATGTATATGTATACAATGTATATGTTGACATGCCCTTTAACAGTACAGCTTGGCATTCGTAAAACAGGTATTTTTAAGTCAACTCATCCATTATATAGAAGAGTATGGGAGATGGAATGGAGGAATTGGGTGAACACAGACAGTATCTAGACACTCCACCAGAAGAGGAGAGGGCTGTGACATGTAAAGAGGCAGGGGGCTGTGCTAGGGAATTGACTAGCAAGATAAAAGGCACATTGCAAGTGCCTTTAAATACACTTTTTTTGGCTTTTACTTTTATTTTAAATACCCAAATGAAGTACTTATTTAACATTGTAAATTTGCTGGTTCTTGTCTTAGGTCATATTAAATATCTCAGCCACGGACAAGGATGAACCCTTCCCAGGGATGAAGTTTACATTTTCTTCAGCAGGACACGAAAACAACTTTACAGTGCAAGATAATCGTGGTATTGAACTCTTTTTACTACCTTGGTAACGGCACTCAATGAAATTTTAGAATGTGTGTTTCTAAAACACACTCTGAAGTTTGTTTTTCAAGCTTGGTGTTTGCTGTATCATTTAGTCAATATAATCTCAATGGGGAGGCTGGGATGCTGCTGACTTCCGTCCCTGTGTGATGCAGCTGGCATTTCCCACTGTTACACATCCAGAAAAAAGCAAAGTTTAACTTTCAAAAGGAATATCAACAGTCATAAGTATACTTGTAACTAAAATTTAACCTCAGCAGAAAATCAGTTCAACAAAAATACATATTGCCAATGCACCCTTTGGGGTTCAGGTGGGTGGGAGGTTGAGGTAACTCTTTTACCTTGGCCATTTAGGGCAAAGTGACAGGGTCGCTTTAAAGCCCACCATCTGACCCTCCTAAACTAACATTCACAGTGCTCCCCGGCCGCTCTTTTTTCCATCTTTAAAATACTCCGCAGGGATGGGGAGCCTGTGACTTTCTCAAATAATGAAGTGCATAGGTCTAAAGGGCAGTCTCCAGGCCAGAATACATTTACATGATGGAGGAATGACATCACCACTGCCAGTGAGCTCTGAGACCAGCCATCACCAGGTATTGCACAGATATTTTCTGGAGATCTTCTTTAATGGGCCAACTTCGTGCACTGTTTTTTACAATATACACCTAAACAGCTATCATACATGCCTATGTTAGGGACCTATTTATAAAGCATCTCATTTTGTGATAATTTTTTTTAATCGTTTTCCAATGTTGATTTTTCTGCTACACTATACGGCCAAAATTATGTGTACACCTCTCCAGATTATTGAGTTCAGATGTTTCCAGTGAAGAGGTCTGTTAATGCTACAGCATGAAAAGGCATTTAAGACATTTGTGAATAGGGAAGGCCCTTTTCTGTTCCAGCATGACTGTGCCCTTGTGCACAAAGCCAACTCCGTAAAGACATGGTTTGATGAGTTTGGTGTGAAGGAACTCGCTAATACCCTGTAACAATCCCTCTTATATACAGATTTTAAAAATATGGTTAGAGGCCATATTACCATGTACTGTGTAGCATACATGTAGAGACAGAAAGCAGTATTGCTCAAGCTATAGACCAAAATCTAAATCCAATGTGACCATGTTTCATGTTACACCCTACATATGGATATAAAGTGAAACATGGCCTGAAAGGTGAACTTGGCCTTTTAAATGGGCACAAATTCTCACAAACACACTCCAAAATCTTCTGGAAAGCCTTCCCAGAAGAGTGGAGGCTGTTAAAGCTGCAAGGATGGGGGTGGGCACAACTCTATATTAATGCCCATGGTTTTGCAATTGGATGTCCAACAAGTTCATATCGGTGTTATAGTCAGGGGCCAAAAACTTTGGCCATATAGTGAATGAAACAGCAAGAGGCGATTGAAAAATGCTACAAACAATAGTAACTGTAAATGGGTGCCCTGTTACCATATGTACAGTACACATAGTTAAATTAGTTATAACACTTTATACTTATTATACTTATTAGCCTGTACAACTTTTTTTGCAGATAACACAGCCAGTATCAAAGTGAAAAATGGAGTATTTGATCCCAATGAGGCCAAATTTTATTACCTTCCAATTATAATAGCTGACAATGGCAAACCACCACTGACCAGCACCAACACCTTGACCATCACTGTTTGCAAGTGTAACGAGAAGGGGGAATTCACCTACTGCGAGGAGGCTGGAAAACTAGCCGCAGTGTCCGCCTCCACCATTGTCATTGTTTTGGTGTCCATATTGCTAATACTTCTGGGTAAGTGACTTTAGTTCTGGTGCCACAAAGTGTTCTCTGCTGACAATATTTCTGCACGGGTGGACAGAGATTGAATAATGCCAATGTACAAAGAGAGAGTTTCGGCTTCCACCCTTTTAATCCTAACCAGTGTTGTTGCACATATAGTGTATGCCCTCTTGCCATAGTGCCAGAAGTAAGAATATAAGCAGACTTTGCATTAAAATTTGAGTTCTACTTACAGCCTAATAATAACTGGACGAAAGATGTAAAAAATGCTCACTTTACACCGTAGTTGCTAGCTGCTTATAGAAGGTGTTGTTAACATCACTGGGCCTAACCATGGGATTCTGGGAAAGCTAAGAATCCTAAATCTCATGGAAAAGTGGAAGTTGTATATTTTCTATTATACTTTCAGTTTTTTTATGCTTTTCATTGGCCATTTTTTCAATTAGAGGGTGGGGGGCTCTCAGATAAGCACACTTCACATTTGAATGCAAGGTCCACTTTAATCGTCATCTGATCTTCACCGTGCAAAAGCACAAATAAAGGTGGGGTTCCCCTTTTCACAACAGAGTTCCCTCCTTTTACATGAGAAACCCCCTATACATCAAAAGCTCCCTTTACATCAGCAGCCCCCTTTACATCAGGGGCCTCCGTCTGCCCTTCATTTCAGAGTCCTAATATCATATCAAGAGCCGCACCTGCAGCAAGATGGGAGAGGATGGAAGGGAGAGCAGACCTGAATAAAGGGGAACTTCCATTCTTTTCTGAATAGATCCGCTATCCCTGTACTACTGTACCAGCGTCATTCACTTCCATGGTGCTGGCAGCTAGCCTGCACCATGGAAAGGCATGAAACTGTGCGAGAATTTGAAGGCACCCATGAGGAAGCCAGAAGGCATCCCAGGGTACTATGGCACCCCGGTTGAGAAAGGCTGCACTAGAGTCAAGTTAAAGGAGAACTATAGGGTGTGTGAATTACACTCATCCTCATAGTTGGAGCCAACATGTGACACTGAAACTGTCACACGTCGGCTCTATAGATCGGGAAGTGAGCGAAAACATACCGCCGCTCGCTCACTTCCCGATCTTCTCCCTGCAGAGGGCAGTGACTGTCAGTCACCGCTCCCCACTGGGTTCCCCCCCCCCCTCCTCTCCGATCCTCCGGCACTGACTGGAGGGATGGACTGGGGAGGGGCGGGCATAGCTGGCTTTGCCTCTATGCAGAGCCCGCTGTCAATCAGCCAGCAGAGTGCATCTCGACAGTATTGTCGGGATCCATCCTGGCTGTGGCATTCTCTCCATATAGCAGGCAACAACCTGCTATATACTGAGTTTTGGGTCACAGGAGGATGTTAGTATATGTCCTCTCATGACCCTAAGGAGAACTATGGGGGAAAAAAAGGTTACCCCATAGTACTCCTATGAGTATGAGCTCCAAAGACAAATTGACACATTTGCTGTTATCTTATTCTTCTTCTAGCAGTGATCCTGGCAGTACTATTTATAAGACGAATGCAGACCAAGAGCCCCCTCATTCTAGGAAAGAACCCTGCAGAGATACATGAGCAGTTGGTCACCTATGACGAGGAAGGTGGAGGAGAGATGGACACCAACAGCTACGATGTTTCTGTACTCAACTCAGTACGAAGAAATGTGGTGATGCCTCGATATGAGGTGGACCCTGGTCCCACCTTATACGCTCAAGTCCAGAAACCATCCAGAACCGGAGATATGTTCTCGGTGATCGAAGCAAAGAAGGATGAAGCAGACAATGACGGTGAAGAGCTACCATATGACACTCTCCATATATTTGGCTACGAAGGGTCGGAATCCAATGTAGAGTCTCTTAGCTCTCTAGAGTCTGGATCTTCAGATTCCGAAATTGACTATGATGTGTTAAATGAATGGGGTCCCAGATTTAAGATGCTGGCGGATATGTATGGGCTGGAACACCTAGAAGAGTTTGCTTATTAATGCAACTTACTTTGCATTCCTATTGGCTTACTGAATACAACAAAGAGCAAGTGCCCAATCAGAATGCATCCGTTAGATTTAACTAAACTGAGATCTGATTGGTTCCTGTGAGTTTGCACAAATAGCATAGCTCCTATAGCTCTTATTAATAAATAAGCCTGTAAAAGTGACTAATCATGTTCAGAATTTCTGTACCCCGCTAATACCCTGTAACAATCCCTGTTAAAAATATGGTTAGAGGCCATATTACCATGTACTGTGTAGCATACATGTAGAGACAGAAAGCAGTATTGCTCAAGCTATAGACCAAAATCTAAATCCAATGTGACCATGTTTCATGTTACACCCTACATATGGATATAAAGTGAAACATGGCCTGAAAGGTGAACTTGGCCTTTAAAAGGAAAACAGCCCTAAAAGAAAACATTACAATTTGCCTGCTATGACATTTCTTACCCAGAAATGCATTTTCTTTGCCCTCCTATGATTTAGTTCCACTTTGTTACAAGGAGCCTTTCAAGCTTCTACATGCTTGTCCTACAATTGTAGTTTACCCCATAGAAGTAGAAAATCTGACCAGTACAAGTTTCCTTCCTCCCTGCTTAACAGCTTATAAGACATTAGGGTTGCACAGATACCAAGTACAGTACTCGGTACAAGTACGAGTACATGTACCGATACTTTTGAGCTCCAAGACTACACTAGAGAAAAATTCAAAAATTAGGAGGCCGCTGTCATTTGTAAGGAGCACACGGAGCTCCTGGGATTTGTACATCTCTGTTTTAATGTACGATTTTGTTTATATAAATATAAATAAAGGGATGCACAGATACCAGTTTTGCAAGTGCGAGTATGAGTATTGGTACTTGCCGAGTACTTACAAGTACGAGTACTGATACATTTTTGTTTATTGTCATGTGACAGTTTTTCTAAAACAATACAGACTAATGATTTCAGGACAGTGGTGGAGTGCCAGAGCCAGGTCCCAGCTGCAACCCTGGTATTTCTCATGAAAATGCCAAGTATCTGCACTAGTACTCGAAAAGTATCTGTGCATCCCTACACGATATCAACTGCACACGTATTGTATTGATTTTTAATGAGCTGGCAGACTTATAGACTTGTATATTGAGAAGGAGCAGTAAACCATTGTACAGCACAACCATTGTACTGCATTGCAAAGTAGGAAGCAGATGCTCTGTATGGAATGAGCAAATATGTCTGCCCCTTGTACATATATAATTATAAATTATACGTAGAAGCAGAATTTTTTAAACAGTAACACATATTGGTAAGGTTTTTACATTCAGTTGGTCCCTTAACATGTATATCAAAAAAACATTGAAATGGCTATTTCAAATTTCAAAAACTGAAGCCCATCCCTGAATTTGGATAAACACAGCCTAGAAAAAAATGTAACCCACCCACAAACCATAATCATTTAAGAAAGTTCCATCCATTAGAAAGGACAAATATTTCAGTATGTGCCATTCAAGTGACGTCATGTGTGATCTGAGCTACTTTTTGCTCTGTTAAACATAACACACCCTAAAATTGAATAATTAAATAATTTGACTATGCAATTGACCTAACCAGATTGGAGGCATCCAAAATGTAGAAGCTCAAAAGAGTTTCTGACCACCAAGATCTTTGCCAACGCTAACTTCCTGCCACTAATAATGAAGTCAGCCTGAAATGGCTGCTCACATGAACCATTATAATGTAAATACAATGCTCAAGATCTACGTTTGGATAATATTAATTTTGCAGTTTTATTTGTGAACTTCATTAGTAGTTGTATCTTGGAACAAAGACTGTGAAATGTGGAGTGAGGGTCATAAGCCAACGAGCAAAAGGGCTGTTGTATAAAATGCTCAATCAGATTTTTTTTTGCCTAAAATGAAAATGATGTATAATACAATATAATCCTGTCTGTAAAATCATCTATGTATGAGAGCAATAAGAGTGACTTGGTGAGAAAGTTACCCTTAGCTTTGAGCAATTTATTTTTAACCTTCAGTACTACTCACAATAAAAAATTAAAACGAAGAACATATGTGAGCCTAATATTATGTTAACTAATCATATTTTTTCTAGAAAGTTTTCCTGTAAGTCCTAAAAATATATTTTATTTAAGGGTATCTTAATATAATGTCTTGAAATGTAAGGAGTACCTGCCACCCACACATAGCAGAGAACCCTTTTGTGTAGTATACTCTGTGACACGCTCCGTGTGGCATAACGGTGATGTCAAAAGTTCCCATTGACATTCCACTGTGTTGTCTGCTTCATTGGTGCTTGGCACAAAATGGTCTCCAGCACTATGCCTGAGCAATAGATACACTTTAGTGATTTGTAGCACCTACTCTTTCTAGAGTCTTTTTACCCTTCTGGTAGTTGCCTGCTCTCGTTATCACTCTTTATCTAATTTAATGGCCTAATTTATTAACGCGATGCAAAGGGTAGGTATGTTCTTCAAGGTCATCTGCACTGGCCAAACAAGCCAAGCAACATACCTGAACATTATTTTGAATGCACCTGGCAGTGTAGGGGTTGCCCTTGCAAAGTTAAAGTGATAGTTAGATTCTCCAGCATGTTGGAAATATCTTCAGACCATTCAGAAATGTTGCATTTTATGCTCTGATCCTTGAGGTCACCAAAGCTAGACATAGACAGATAGAGGTCTCCATGAATACAGCAGGAGTGAAATCTGCAGCAGATCAGCCGATTATTTAGCCAATGGACAATAGCCATATGTACACGGTGTTAAGCTACAAGCACGTTACATTCACATTTCAGTTTAAAGTGACCCTGTCACCATAGGGTCACTTTTACTTAATAGGCCACCTGTAAAAGTCAAGGTTATATACTCACCTTTATCCTTCTCCCTCTGTGGAAACAAGTATTCTACACACCTACAAGTTAAGAACACATGCAACGCTTAAAAAGCAGAGACGGGGCCACTTTTCAGGTAACAGAGACCCCATATAGGATGCCTTTTACATCATAGATAAGGAAAGTGAGGCACCATCTTATATTTATAATCATATTTTAAATACAGGCAGTCCCCGTGTTACGAACAAGATAGGAACTGCAGGTTTGTTCTTAAGTTGAATTTGTATGTAAGTTGTAACAGGTAAATTTTTTAGGTGTAACTCCAGCCAAAAATGTTTTTGTTTTGTTTTGGATAGCATAGGGAAGGGTTTACCCCCTGTAAAGTTTGTTTTGCTGTGTGTGCCCCTATTCAGAAGATTGCACCTCACTTTCTGTCCCAGTGACAATTGGATTTTGAAAATTTTGGGTTGTCGTGGAAGCAAGGATTGGTGATAAAGCTTCAGTGGAGACACCTTTTTCCCATGATAACTCTTACAGGAGTGAATTTCCCTTCCTAAGTGTAGATTTCCTGTTGTCTCAAGGACAGGAAGTGAGATTACATCTTTCTAACGAGGATACAGACAGCAGTAAAAACCTCACAGTGACCCGGAAGAAGAGGCGGGCACCTCTCGTCTGCACGTCTAACAAGAGCCAACTTCCTGTATTGAATGTACAGTACTACGAACCAGACCTAAAAAGGTAGACACTCCTCGTTGGCACGAGCGCGGTTTACAACTACCCCTTCTCTACAGTAATAGCCTCCATTTGTAAGAAGAAGTCGTATGTAAATAGTATGTATGTAACTCGGGGACTGCCTGTATGTGCTTTTATACATTATTGGGTAATTAAAGGCTCAGTCCACCCAAAACTAGTATACCAGGTTTTGGTAGATGTTGGAGAAATAAAACCACCAATTTCTTTTATCTCTTGAGTAGTCTGTTGGTGAAATCTCTGTGTTTGAGGTTCAGGTTCTTCACACTACTCCCCCTACTGTTTTTTTAATATATATTGTGTAATATGGAGATGTAAGGAGAAGCTAGAACACAGAAAGGTGGGCAGGACCACCCAAAACTCCCGGGTGGACAGGAATGGAGATCTAGATATTGTAGTATCCAAGACATATAGTCCATTGCCCTTTGCACTGTTATTAAAAGACAACACACTGTACATACTCACTACTTTTCCTCAGGGACACTTACACGACTACTTGAATATAGCTACTGATTTTTCAGTTTTCCCTGGCCCTGACAATTGCAAGAATAATGACATCTAAAATGTTATGCAGTCTTAAGCCTACCATAGAAAGCCATAATCTTACACTACCCTAAAAACAACATTATTCCCTTTATTATTAATTTTATTTGACACACATACTAGCCAGTAGGATTGTATCACAGTATATTATTTTTACTTACACTTGTGGTGGACTAACAATGATTATGTTTTTCTTAATTATATTTTTATTTCATTTGTCAGTATTTTTGTGTATGTTTTTTGTATTACAGCATTTTCTAAAAGTCCTATGTAGTTGTATACTGTATAGATGATGTTACTTTTGCCTTTTTGTATTAAAATAGTAAAATATTTGACACGGGTATTGTCTACCTTTTTTAAGGGTCAATTAACAAAACAGCATAAGACTTCTATATCAATCCCCCTTCTAATTAATTGACACAACACTGGTATTGGATTTTTAGTGGCCACAGCAGCCAATTTATTAAATATAAAACCATTTAACAAATCTTTCCAAAAATAACTGACAACGGGAACTGAGGTCCTTGAAGGCCATCCCACAAGAAACCAACCAGTGTCTGCCTACATGGCCCCCAGCCGCACCACACCGCCTCGGGGACGTAGCAGTATAAGCAGACACTAGATGACTAACGATCTGACCAGCTCCCCGCTCTTAAACAGCAACAGCATAGATTGCTCCTCAAGGACCCCAATACCCTGCCCGGCTGCAGCGTCATTAACCATAGATCAAGACAAAATGCAATTGAACAATGCAAATATCGAACAAAAGCAAATACCACACACAAAAAGGAAAAATTAGGGCGGGAGGGTTGGAGTGCAAAACTATGGAAAGGGAATGGGTTTGCAATGGCATCTCAACACAGCAAAGTTGCTGAAGGCTCCATTGCTTACCGCAGTTTTATCTTCAGGAACTAGTGCGGCACTAATTTGGAACTAACATGCAGCTTAAAGTCTGGAATGTCCCAACTCCCTTTCCCAGTCTTGATTACTTGTTGCAGGTTAGTGATGTGCTAGGTGATAGTGAAGCCAGGATTAGGACGGCAGCTCTAATTGCTACCTCGTTGCCTTCAACAACTTCTGGAGAGATGATATTAAAGGAGAACTATGAGGAGAGTGCTTTTCACTCACCTCATAGTTCTAGCCGACCTGTGACAATGAGACTGTCACAGGTCGGCTCAGTAGATCGGGAGGTGAGCGAACACATACCGGCGTTCGCTCATCTCTCGATCCTGTCACGGCTCTCTGCCGTGACAGGGGAGGGACTGGATTCTCCCCTCCCTGCTCCGATCCGCCAGCGCTGACTGGCGGAACGGACGAGGGAGGGGGCGGGTACAGCTGGCTCTGCCTCTAGATAGGCAGAGCCAGCTGTCAGTCACGCAGCTGGGTGTATCCAGATATAATTGTCGTGATCCGCTTCAGCTGCGGCGTCTTAGTATACCGGGAGCAGCAGCTCGCGGTATACTGCGGCGTCTTAGTATACCGCGAGCAGCAGCTCGCAGTATACTGCGGCGTCTCAGTGTACCGCGAGCTACCGCTTGCGGTATACTGAGCCTAGGGTGACGGGAGGACGCTAGTTTGTGTCCTCCCGTTACCCTAAGGAGAACTATGGGGAAAAGCCTTAACCCCATAGTTCTCCTTTAAGCTCTATGTAAGCTCCAAATTTCTCTGTTCAGAACTTTCACAAGGGCTCTTTCCTGAATCTCACAAGACATCACTTGGACCTATTAATTATTACCACTCAGACACCCAGCACTAATTAATTGAAGTGGCAGAATAACAACTGGATTGTTTCCCCTCTTTTGTGTTTTCTTCTCTCAGGTTCTGTAGGGGACACCAGCCGACTTGAGAAATTGCTCCTTTTACTTCTAGTAGCCACCATCAAAACATAAGCAAAAGCATTCACCTCCCATATAATTATTTCTTCTACAATAACTTTTAATTGGGATCTGCACCTCCTGAGTGCACCTTGGATTTGTTACTGGTGTACTTTTTCTAGTTCTTTCCCTCCCTCCCTCCATTGACCTTTTTTGATTCAAATCCCCCCCCCTCCACCACCACCACCACACATGTCCCCCAACCCCACACGCTCCCCTAGTTCCCCCCATCCCCACTGACCTGATGGTGTTAGCCTACTTAGGTGGACTCCACTTTGGAACTAACTGCAAAGAAGAGGTTTGTACACTGAAACTTTTGATGGAAAAAAATACTGTGGGGGGAATTTATCATAGCAATTGCGAGTGTTTGAACTTGCACGGAATATATTTGCACCAGATTTATGATGCTAGTATAATGATGTTGATAAATGAGGTTTAATATTCCCCAGGAAAGAAGACTTGTAACACCAGGCAAAAAGCTTAACTGTTGCATCTTGAAGAAGTGGTCATGGGGACTTCTTAAGTTGTGATTGTTTTCTTAGGTGATGCTCCAGTTTCAGGCAGTCCAGAGCAAGAGCAGATGAAAACAGTCACAAAAAAGGTGCAAAAAACATGTAACTGAAAAAGTAGTGCAAGCTTTGGTCAAAACAGGTGCAAAACACGTGCAAAAAACATGCAAAAAACATGCAACACGTGCAGTTGTAAGGCTTGGATGCAGCTGCTCGGCCATGGAAATCCATTCCATGAAGCTCTCTATGCACTGTTGTTGTGCCAATCTGAAGGCCACAGAAGTTTGGAGGCCTATAGTAGGGATGTCCCGATACCCCTTTTTTAAGACCAAATACAAGTACAAGTACTTCCCCTCATGTACTTGTCGATACCAATTACCGATACTTTTCCTTAAAGGGTCAGGTGACATTTTTAAAAAAACAATAGACTAATGATTTTAGGCCAATTTGTTTATGATTATGAAGAACTTTAATTAAAAACTGTTTTAGAACAATAAAGCATTTAACCTATTCATGTTTTCAACCACGATCGTGTGGGACTGTCCAGGCGGTATTGCGGCGGGAAACCGCGCAATCTGCCTGGTGCAAATGGAGTGCCATCAGAAATTAATGGCACTGCCAGCGTAATCGGCGATGGTGTGCGATTTCATGACCGCCCAGCCATCTGCTCGGTTTTGTACACGATGACCGGGCGGTCACGCATTGCACACTACCGCCGAACGCGCTGGCACTGCCATTATTTTTTAATGGCACCCCAGTCGTGCCAGGCAGATTGTGCGGTTTTCCGCCGCAATACCGCCCTGCCCATGCTTTTGCACACGATCGCGGTTGAAAACACTGTGCGTTTATTCTAATGCAGATGATGGGGGCAGCGGGGCTGGTTTTCATTTTTTTCAATTTTTATTTACTTTGTAAACATTTTTAATTTTAATTTATTTTATTATTTTTACTT